CACATGGATTTGGCATGCATTCTTTGGGTTGCCAGGAACACTCAATGATATCAATATCCTCAATAGATTTCCTTTGTTCAAAAGATTAATTTCTGGGGATGCTCCAGCTTGCAACTACAAAATCATGGACAATGAGTACTCAATGGGATACTATCTCACCGATGGCATCTATCCCGAATGGGCAACTCTTGTGAAGTCCATCAAGGAGAAAAATGGGGTGCCCTTAACAAGAAAAGAGGCTCATTTCACCAAGGCACAAGAGGCAGCCCGCAAAGATATTGAGAGAGCTTTCGGTGTTTTGCAAGCAAGGTTTGCCATAGTTCGTGGTCCAGCTCGGTTTTGGAACAAAAAAACCTTGATGAACATCATGAAATGTTGTGTGATTCTACACAACATGATCCTAGAGGATGAGAGAGGGTTAAACCTCCCTTGTTTCTATGACAATGTTGGTACCCGTGTGCAACCGGAAAGAAACCCTTCTCGCATACACGCTTTTCTTCAAGCACATCGTCAGATTGAGGATGCAACCACTCATGGTCAGCTCCGGGATGATCTAATAGAGCACCACTGGCAGTTGGATGGGCGGCGCATTGGCCCATGATGTATCTTTTTTTCCTTTTCTATGTCCTATTTGATTCGAACAATTAGTGTTATTTGCTCAAACATTGTTGTAATAATTTGAATGATTATTGTTTTATTCGGTGTTGTAATAATAACTAGAATGATTATTGTTTTATGTCAATTGTGATGGAATTTGTGATATGTCATATGATGAAATGTGTGATATATGAAATGACAGTTTTAAAGGTTGGGGTTGAGGCAAAGACTAGAACCCTCAAATCCAACCCTTAAAGCAGGTTACGGGTTGGATTTGAGGGTTCTAGTCTTTGCCCCTGTTTTTCAACCCTTAAAAGTGTCAAAAACTGGCACTTCTCAACCCTTAAAACTGCTACAAGCGTTTGAGGGTTTGAGAGTTCTACTAGTAATGCTCTAATTGACGCAGTCTCATACAATGGCAAAAGGAGTACCATCTTTTCAGTACGTACTTTTTTATTTAGCCTTTGGATTATTCTTTATATGGGTGGCCTTTTAAATTTGGAAAAGCAACTGATTGATAACGTTCATAGTGGCAAAACTAGATGAGACTAGCATCGAGGCAGGGAGAGGCGTGGCGTGTATAGGGAGAGAAGCACCGAGTGGTGGCCACGCACGGGTCCCCGTCGCCCACCCCTCCGTGACGGACGGCCTCAGCGACAAGCAGCCAAAACGGCGCTTCGCTTCGCCCACTGGAACGCCTTTGTTTGCATCCCCCTCGTGCCCCGCGCACAGCCAATCAATCCCGTCAGTTTCGCTTTTGCGGCTCAACACAGGTTCGATTCGACGGCTCCTCCCATCGCATGGGGATCGCACAGGCTGCCGCCCCGCTGCGCCTGCATCTCGGATGCTCCGGCGCGGCGCCCCCGCGGCTCACCTCCCTCAGGTTCGGGGTCGGATCCCATGCGAGGAAGGGCGGGAGGCGGCGGAACCCTCCCCGCGCCGCCAGCTCGCTGCATCCCAGCAGCAACCCGAGAGCGCACGACCATGACCCCGCCCTCAAGCCTCCCGCTCCCGCTCCCGCCGGCGATTTCGCCGGGAGGGACTTGAACGGCGCCGCCGACCACGCGCCGCAGCAGAGGCGGCGCGCGGCGAGCGACCTGGAGGTGGAGGCGTGGGCGCTCCTCCGGGAATCGGTGGTGAGCTACTGCGGCAGCCCCGTGGGCACCATCGCCGCCTGCGACCCCAACGACTCCAGCCCGCTCAACTACGACCAGGTCTTCATCCGGGACTTCGTGCCCTCGGGCATCGCATTCCTGCTCAAGGGGGAGTATGACATCGTCCGCAACTTCATCCTGCACACGCTCCAGCTCCAGGTCACCCACCCTTCATACTAGTAGGAGTATTTCGGTCGGTTGGTGTCTGTCAATACAGATGCTAATCTTACTTGTGTTAATAATGTGTATGCAATTGAATCATTCCTCAGTTCCAATAAGATTAAGCACAACCTATATGAAATTATTAGTTGAGTCAGGAACTCAGGATACCATTGTGCTCAATGTACTGCCTATCATGTATGAAGCTTGTAATAATTTGTAAAAGCTGATTGTTGACCATCTATAGAGCTGGGAGAAAACCATGGACTGCCACAGTCCAGGGCAAGGCTTGATGCCAGCTAGTTTCAAGGTGCGTGTCGTTCCGCTTGAAGGTGATGAAGAGGGCGCAACTGAGGAAGTCCTGGATCCTGATTTTGGGGAGGCTGCTATAGGCCGTGTGGCACCAGTTGATTCAGGTAAAAAATTTAAAACCTTTTAATTCAGGTAATGTTGACTCTGTTAATATGCGTATAGCATAAAAAATAAAGAGCCTTAATGATGGTTTTCAGGTCTATGGTGGATCATATTACTGAGGGCATATGGAAAATGTTCAGGAGACCTTTCATTTCACGAGAGAATCGATGTCCAGACTGGAATAAAATTGATCTTGAAGCTCTGCTTAGCTGATGGGTTTGACATGTTCCCCACATTGCTAGTCACTGATGGATCCTGCATGATGGATCGTCGAATGGGTATCCATGGACACCCACTGGAGATTCAGGTAGCACAAATGTCCGAAAATAACAGCGCAGTGAAACATCACACACACACACACACAACAAACAGCAAAAGCACATAACCATAGCAACACAAAGATATATGACGATGGCACAGGCACTAAATAGTAAATACAGTTATGGGGTATGGTATATTTTTACACAAGGAATGAGAGAGTTCTTACATGTCTTGAATTCTTTTTGGGTGTCACTCATTTCACTGCACAGAGCACAGTTCTGGCCTGAAACCACAAATATTGGCCAATCGAAGCACCTGTCTTTTTTTTTTTGAGAACCAAAGGCACCTGTCTTTAAAAACATGGTTATTCAGGTCATTCTAAGATTATGGTTAATAGTGCCACGTGATCCTCCCCTGCTATTCTGTAGATGAGTGAGGATTACTTTCTGCTATTTATGCATGATTTCTCATATATCATTTTCATTTCTTGTGCAGTCACTGTTCTATTCAGCCCTCTTGTGTGCACGTGAGATGCTTACCCCAGAAGATGGATCTGCTGACTTGATCCGTGCCCTAAATAACAGGCTTATGGCGCTCTCTTTTCATATTAGGGAATATTACTGGCTTGACAAGAGAAAGCTAAATGAGATATATCGATACAAAACAGAAGAATATTCTTATGATGCTGTCAACAAGTTTAACATATATCCTGATCAGATTCCTCCGTGGCTAGTTGAATGGATCCCTCCGGAAGGGGGTTACTTGATTGGAAACCTGCAACCAGCTCACATGGATTTCCGATTCTTTTCTCTGGGGAACTTGTGGTCTATAGTAAGCAGTTTGGCAACAACCCGCCAATCCCATGCTATTCTGGATCTAGTTGAAGCCAAATGGTCTGATCTAGTGGCAGAAATGCCATTGAAGATATGTTATCCTGCTCTCGAGGATCAAGAGTGGAAATACATTACAGGGAGCGACCCTAAAAACACGTGAGTCCTAGATTGTTGCCTACTTCTGCGAGTCTTGCAGATCATTTGCATCTCCTCATAACATTTATTTTGTTTTGCTGCAGGCCTTGGTCATACCATAATGCAGGTTCCTGGCCAACATTGTTGTGGCAGGTTTGCAACTTAAGCATCATGTTTGAAATTTTGATGTGTACTTTGCAAACCTCGAGACCTTGTCGAGTGTTTGGATTGATTACTTAGCACCATTTGCTCTTGATTGTAAATGTCAATCAGTTTCTTGTTTTTCTTTTGGCAGCTTACAGTGGCATGTATCAAGATGAAGCGGCCTGAGATTGCAGCAAGAGCCGTGGAGGTGGCTGAGAGGCGTATTTCCGCGGATAAATGGCCTGAATACTACGATACTAAGCGTGGGCGGTTCATCGGCAAACAAGCTCGACTATTCCAAACGTGGTCCATTGCGGGCTTCCTTGTGGCCAAGCTGCTGCTCGAAAACCCTGAAAAGTCTAGAATACTCTGTAACAACGAAGACGAGGAATTTGCTAATGCTTTTAATCTCATGGCTGATTCATGCAACCCGAACAGGAAGCGTGGCAGGAAAGCCCTGAAGAAGACCTACATTGTGTAAGTCTAACAACAGCTCCAATGTTAGGGGGGTTCATAGACGTAGCAGTGTTCAGTTTTTTTGTGCGAAACGCACATATACCACCAGGATTTGTACATATTACAGTGAACTTGTCTAGTGGAAATGCCCACTTTTGAGACGCTGTCATTCTGTTTATGGTTAATTGTAAGGTAATCACAGCACAGATGCACCATATTGTTTATGCTACTCCGGTCAGCACCATAGAATGGTTCACATCCAAGCAATTACTGGTGCACGCTAGCGATTCATCCCATCAGCATTTAGCAACACAAACCCATAACATAATTGTGAAGTCAGTGACAGACACATACTCCCTCCGTTCCGAATTACTTGTCGCTCAAATGGATGTATCTAGCACTAAAATATTCAGAACGGAGGGAGTACTTGATTGCTAAATCCTTACTCCTAACTTTATGATATTAATGAACAAGAACGCATGTTACACAACTTATTACTGGACGTTACTTGAGTTACTGCTACATATCAAGAAACAACGACTACTGCAGCAGTAGTGCACAACAATGTTCTACCAGCTGCAATTGCTTGCAAGACCATGGCTGCATTCAAAAGAAAAATGCTTGCACAAGGCCATTGCTCATCTGATATCTGATGGTATTAACAAGGAATAAAGTTACAGGCACAACACCCGACCTTACTCTACTGATAATTCATTTTCAACAGAAAAACTGCAGGGGAGTGGGGACTGGGGAACTGTGGGACTACTACTTCTAGCTACCACGGTATGGATATTCTTCAGAACACAACGTACTACCACTACAGCTTCTACTGCTACTACTGCCACCACTAGAAGAGCTCGAACTCAATGTCGTCTCCATTCATCCGGAACTCGAGGCACTTGCCTTCCTTCTTCTTCCGTGCTACCGCTGCCGTAAGGGTTGAGGCGTCGACGCTTTTCGGGGTCTCGGGCGGTGCAGTCCAACGGATCAAGGCCCAGTTCAGGCCTTGGAAGAAGGGATGCCGCTTGATCTCGGCAGCTCCTTTTCTCGAGCCTAGCCGGAGCTCTGGCTCCTTCACAAGCAACCCTCTGATCAGATCGCGAGCCTGGTAGCTGACAGCTGGGCTATCAGGGAACTTCAGCCCCTGTGAGACCACATTTGTAAGTGTTTCGTCATTGCCAGGTCCCCTGAATGGTGTCTTGCCGTAGTGCAATTCATACAGAAAGATGCCAAGAGTCCACCAATCGACCGAGCTGCCATGGCCATCTCCTCTGATGATCTCCGGGGCAAGGTATTCATGGGTTCCGACAAACGAATTTGACCTTGCATCAGTCGGCTCGACGACAAGCTGCGGAAGTGATGGTTTCTTCAGGGGCTCAGCTCTCCGTGTCCTGGAAGGTGTAGAAGATACCAGCCGAGGTGTGAAGCAAGAAGAGTTGGCCCAGGATGGCTGGATACACAGTGGATCGATGCAGCTTTCAGCACAAGGTCCGGAAGGCCTAGGAGGTTCATCTCTTCCTACTGATGAGCACCTCACAAGCATGGGATTAACTGAACACCTCAGGGACAGATCAAAGTCGGAGAGCATGATGTGCCCATCTTCACGAACAAGTATGTTCTCAGGCTTCAGATCGCGATATATAACCCCCAACATATGCAGATACTCCAATGCTAGGAGAACTTCAGCGACGTAAAACCTGCAAAGAGACATAATCCTGATGAGTTAAGTAACTTGAAACATGATTTTCTGCCAGAAATGCAGGCACAATTGGTCGGTAAGATAACACATAAATACCATGGCTAAAGTTATTTACCTAGCAGCGGCTTCTGAAAAACACCTGGTAGGTTGCTTCTGCCTTAGGACATGCAGATCGCCGCCTGGACAATATTCCATGACTAGGCAAGACAGATTATCTGTCGTGAAATAAGAATACAGGGTGGGAAGAAACGGGTGGTCAAGCATTTGCAGTATCTCCCTCTCGGTTTGAGCCCTCAGCATCTTCTTCCGGCTTATTAGGTACTCAATGTCCATAACCTTGAGTGCAAACATGCAGTCCGAACCCACCAACTCAGCCAGATAAACAGTGCCAATATCTCCACAGCCAAGCTGTTTGAGAAGCTTGAAGTTCTTCAATCCTAGGGTCCCTTGTTGGATCGCTATGCGCCTCATGGCTTCCCATCTGACATCTTTTGACATGTGAGGCCTGCTGCCATTAGCACTGAAACTACCATAACTATCTTCACTGATGCTTGTACTTGTGCTATAGTCACCGATGCTGCTCTTTGAGCTTTGGGAGCTTTCACCCTTTTCCTTCGACCTTGACAATTCACCAGGCTGTGAACTAGGGATCCCACTGACATAGCATCCTTTGCCAAAATCAACTCCTTCGGGACCGAGAGAGCCATCAGCGCCCTTCTTGTTGTTTGGTGCTGGGGTTTTGGGTTCATCCTGAAGGGCCTCCTGTTGCTTCTTACTGTGAGAACCGGAACCTTTCGCTTCGCAATGCTTCTGGGACGCCACTGCTGCAGCTGGTTCTGGTTTAACCTTCTTTTTAGTGGAGGATTTGCTGCGAAACACCAGGCGTGAGCCTCCTACTGGAACAGCTCGCGGGCTAGATGCTTTTGGAGATTTACCCTTTCTCTGTTTTGCCACAGCTCTTCCAGCAGAGGGATCTTCACTTGCCTCCAGTGACTTATTACTGATGACATCTTGGATACTGGTTTTTTGGACCTTGGCCTTGGTTGGAGAAGCTGATCGCACATGCTTGTTAGCTGAACCTTTACTGTGCACCTTTTTACTAGCTTCAACCAACTTGACTGGTGAACTTACTACGACCTTGTCAGGCAAAGCAACGGCCTTCTCAACCTTGCTCTTCCCATCTTGATCCTCGTCTGTTGGAACCACAACAGAGGCATAAAGCTTCTTAATCGCCCCAGATTCAGGAGTATTCGACACAGCCGCGGGCTTGGACGTCCTCTTCATGGCGGCCATCTCCGAGGCCTGGGAGATGCACATCTTCCTGAGGGCCTGCTTCAAGCTCACAGACTCCACGATCTCCGAGCTCGACATGGGCGCCTTCCCAAGCGCAATAAGCCTCTTGTCCGTGCTCGTCTGCCCAGAAGCCCGCGCGGAGGTGCGCACATTGAAGGATCTGAGGAGCCGGTCGAGGTCATCCTCAACCGAGCACGACCGCCCCCCGTGCTCCTGCCCCACCGGCTTCACCCTCACCCTCAGGTGGGTGACCCCGCCCGGACGGGCGTCTTTGGTCTCATCCACCAGTTCGACTATCTCCGGGCACCCTGAAGAACCCATCCTCTCCAGCACTCCCACCGCCTCCAAAACTGCTCCCTCCTACTAGAGTATTGACTTACGGAGCTCTGCGAGCAGGAATCGCATCTGGGTGGGGTGGTGATGCGCTTCAAGCTAGGACCGTTGGTGTCTGCAGTTTGGTGACAAAAGAAGCGGCTTTCCCGGATCAAGAAGCGGCATCACGAGCCCTGCAAGAGAGTAAGCATAAACTGGATCAGATGGTGCGGGTATTCATTTGAGACACAAGAAAGAACCTTATTGGCACTAGCATAGTGGAGGAAAAAGCGTAGGAATCTGAGGCAAAACTGGAGCTTGAGCCGATCTTGGTGCCCTTGTACTCATTATTATGTATACCACTACAGTCACCCCTTCCCCACCCCCTAGTTAAAATTTGAAAAAATATAACCATAGAAAAAACGAAAGCAAAAGGGACATAGATGCGGTAGGTGAGGTGGGGTTTCGCTCTCCCCTCTCTCTTTTTCGCAGCGAACTGATGCAAGATCCGTAAACCTCTGGGCGGCTTGAGGGACAAGAAGACGCAAGCAGCGGATGGGCGAACAAAATGGGGTTACTTTGAGCCAAGCCAAAGGCACAAACGCGCAGAGTCAAGAAAGAGAGAGGAAGAACCAGATTTGCGCACGAGAGAGAGAGAAGAGAAGAGAAGCGGGGGATTTGGATTTTGGAGCGGGAGACTCTTACCGGCGGGAGGGCGGCGGCGGCGGCGGCGGAGGCGAGACGGAGGGTTTTGAAGGAGCGGCGGCGAGTAGGACAAGGGAGATGGGGATGAGGAGCAGGGGAAGAGGCGGCAGTCAGCTCGAGCAGCAATGCGCGCACATCTCGCGAGGATGCAAAAGAGGAAGACGAGATGAGAGCGGCCGCTCCCCCCTCTTTCCTATCCTCTCCCTCACAGGCTCACACACTCTCTCTCTCTCACTCTAGCTGCGGCTGCGTGCCTTTCTCTCTCTACCACGGCAGCCCCATGCTATGGCTATGGCTACGCGAGCGAGCGACGCGCCCCCACCGCAAACCAATAAAAACACGCACCACCACCACCACCACCCCTACCCTAGGATTTACGCTTGTTTATTTATGGCCGCTATTTATTAATGCTGCCTGTAGCAGGGCGTAGCGTGCCTCCCTTTCACGCGTCTCTCTCCTCACCCTTTTCCGTGTCTCCCTAGCCTAGCCAGCGGGAGGGGAGGGGATGGGAGGGGCTTTTCTTTTTTACTTTTCCTTTTGACGACTTGTGTTATCACGCTCGACGCCGGTACAGGACGACAAGAATACGGACCCGGATGCAGAAAGCAAGCTGTAATTTCTTTATTTGTAAACGGATTCAAAGCTACCACTACAGAGACTGTCGATCTCTAGCCACAGTAGTGGATGCAATCGTAGCCAGAAGATGGTACTACTACTGGAGTAAGTGGAGTAGTAATCAGCTTGTTATATTCGCGGGAGGCAAACTGATTGTGCCGTTACCTGCGCGGTCCGTCACGTCAACAGCACTGCGTCATGTCGTGCCGCCGCTGCTTAGGGGCGCACCACTGTATCTGTATGTATGTGTGCCTCGGCCTGGCCGCGGCTGCGTGGTAGAGAGGCGCCCACCACCGGCTGAGGCGGCGAAAAACAAATATTTGACCTAAGAATGAAAATAATTCACAATCTGAACTGCTTTTGAAAAAAATTCACTGAACTGGCCGTTTCGAGTGACGCCCGACATATAGGCGCCACACTATACTGTGCAGTATCTGGTTCTTAGGCGCCGCACGCCGGTCCAGCGTGGCAGCCCGTGCCTCACTCCTGATTGTGCAGCGCCTAGCTGAAAGGAGCTGTCCGTGTAGTGCAACGCCTAACTGAAAGGAGTTGCACTACCTTATACTCCCTCCTTCCCATGTTATTAGGCGTATTAGTTTCAGCACGAAGATTAATGCAGGTCTATCGTTAGTTTATTACGTGAGCCGTCGTACAATTTTTTACGTGAGCTAACATCATGAGAGATCCATCAGACGTGATTTGTTTTATTTCCAGAAAAATAGGGATTCTTAATTGTACAAGAGAGAGAGAGAGGAAGTAGTCTGCGCCTAATATTATGGGATTGCATGAAAAAGCTAATACGCCCTATATTTTGGGAAGGAGGGAGTATTAAAACTGTAACTTTTAATCCGTGCATCTGATGAAAACGTGCCTTATATGAATGTTGTTCATTTTTCCGTGTTGTACGCATTGGTGGCATTTTCATCTATGTTAGGATCGATTTACTTGATGAAAACACTGTTGCAAAAATGCATCATAATATAACTGACAGAATCTGTTTCCCAAATAAATATGTGTTTTTTTTTTCGGCTGAGCCAGAGGCTCACACTCCACGTACGCCTCGTGCGAGCCTTGTATCCCCGCCGCAGAGCGCCTGCCCCACCCCCACTGCTCTCGTCGTTTTACGCACGCATTCATCTGCTCCACGCGCACCTCGCGTCTCGCTTGATCCTTTGCCCAAACGCGCGGCGCGGGTGCCGTGTCGTCTCACCCTCGCCAGTTGCGGTCCGCCGTCGGCCGGGTGGATTGTACCCCGAGTCGCTCGCCAGTAGAGTACACGGGCTGACACCGACCTGGCAGTGCAACCGCAGCTGTGCCTCTTGCGGGATGGATGTTGCAGCCTGCCCTCCTGCCTGTAGGATACGAGCCGAAATAGATCTGGGTGGATGTCGAGGTATCGAGCGGACGGACGTTTCGATACAAGAAAGAAAGAGCACGATGTTTCGCTTGTGGGGCAAGGGATGTTGGTACCAACCCAACTGGTGTGTGAAGCAAGAACACGATGGAATGGAACCAGTGGTGGTGGCTGGCGTAGGAACGCCTCCACCTTCCCCTCCGGTGTGTTTTGTTTTGCCTCAACGAGGAATCCACTCTCTCTAAATAAAATCTAAACCGAAATCAAATGTCTTCTTGTATATTTCGTCACGACGTGAAACTTGCGACACCATCAGGTTTTGATTCTTGTAGTCCGTCGAATGCGGCCTGCGGTCAGTGCCGCCTAGAAGCTCGCCGCGCATCGGAATGCGGGGGTAAAAAAAGGGAGGCGACGCAACGCAACGCTCACCGGCCCGCACACTTGCCAGCTCTTGCAAAACGGAACATGGGAACGCCTTTGTGCCCCTCCGTTCGTTCCTTGGATCTTTCCCTCCGCAAACTTTTGAAACAAACCAACAGCAACAGCAACAGGACCCTCTCCGGCCCCGAGACTGTCTCGATGGCTCCGATGCAAGTACTCCCAACTGCCGTGCATAATTTAAACAGCCGGGCATGTGGGCTGTGGGCCCCTTCGTTACTTCAGTTAATCGTCTCCGTGCATCGGCCGTATCATCGCCGTGCTTCCGCAAGAACCAGTCAGCATACCAACCAAG